GAACGTCTTATTAAAACTAATGATGGTATATCCGTTTTTGCAGTTCCAGGGTAAATATTGAAACAGGTTTCTATTTATAAATTGCCAGCACTGAGAAAAATAGTCCTCCTCTTTTAAGATACAATTAAATCAGGCAAGCAGGATATCGCAAGGCATGAAGCAGATAGGCAAGGGTAGCTCAGCTTTCTCCATCATTTTAAGGCGTGTATGAGTCATGAGGATTTAAGAGTGCCAGATGGAATTTAAATTCACCAAATCTGTAATGCTTTTACCCCAGTTGCAAAAATAGTTGGTAATTTCAGAGAACATCATAATTCATGCTTCATTCAGTGAGACTGATCTTTGGAGCAATGTATAATACATTAGAATGCCTTCACATTCTCTCCTTGGCTTTCTTTATTGTTTTAGACTGTCAGATGCAAACTGAGAGTCTCAATGCCCCCAATTTCAGACTCTGGGTTTAGTTCTTATAATTACTGGTGATAATCAAACATTTTAAAAAACAAGGACTTTAAAAGCTTCTGCAATTGGCATCGGGTGTGCATATTCCCAAGCATCATTATAATGAAATATAGGATTTTATAGGAAGTTGTGAAATTTACCAAGACACTGAGAAATTTAAGGAAGGATACTCAGCACAGATTAACAACTAAAAGTCTAGCATAACACAAATCCTCTAAATATTTTTTATTTAACTTTCTTCATTTTTATTGTAAAACACCTCGAATCCTAGGAAACAGGCTCATTTTCTCTCTCTCGTACAAAAATATCTTCCCATTTTAATTGGGAAACTCTTTTATTTACTTATTTGCCATAATCTATGTAGACTCCTAGAAGGTTACAATGGTAAAAATAGCAGGAAAACCCCAAACAGTACCAAAATCCAGATGGCATCCACTAGAACGGCTATTCCATAGCATATGGACTGCAACAGAAACCACTGCTTGTAGGCCACTGTCCCCTTCCTTTTTCAGTAATGGGGGACCATTGATAGGTGTTGTTAAGCAACATGCAATAAATGAGTTCATGCTATGTGAAGAAGGCAGTCCTGTGGTTACTTAGGAGCTAGACCATGCAGGGTTTTATAAGCTAAAACAAGGACTTTGAATTGCACCTGGAAACCTATTAGTAACCAAGGCACGTTTTGGTTACATAGGATTTGTATGGCAATGGCGATTCTCCTTCGTCAACATGTCAGCTGCTGCATTTTGCACCAACTGCACTTTCTGAGCAGTCTTCAAGGGTAGCCCCATGTAGAACACATTACAGTAGAGCAGTCAGGTGGGGATAACAGTTTGATTTACGATTGCTGCTTGATGCATTGGAGTAATACATTTATCCTCCATCTGATATGTACTCTTGGTGGGGGAGGGGGGAGGACAATTAATTACATGACATTTCAAGTTTAATGTCACCTGGCTACCAGTTTTAATTGTCCCACATCTCCCAATTATGGTAAAAAAAAAAAAAAGAGGAATCATATTACTAAATTAGCTTCACTCTTCCATCATGCACCACTGCAAGATGGAATCAACCATGTAACAATAAGACTCTGGTGTTTGCTCTATCTATTAATTGTAAAAAGCCCTATACATAGATGGTGTTCTTATTAGATGTCTTCTTTCTAGCATCCCAAGTTCCTGACTGAATTACTGATTCAACACCTAAAACCTCACAAAAATAGGAACTCATAAAGATCACAAAACAGAGTTCAAGTTTTGCATATATTTCAGGATCCTTGTCCTCAATCCTATGCCAGGTGTCACTTTTCCCAACCAAAGCTCTAAAAAAGTCCCGTTTTGAAGAGTAGCATACACGTTTTTAAGGCTAATAGAGGTGTCAAAATTTGGAGAACTCAGTTTCTGGTGATTCAGAAGAAGGAAAGAAGGCGATAAGAGTGCATATTGTTTTTATGCCTGTTTAACTTATACAGCAAATATATTTTAAGAATGGTGGAACTGGAAGAGATGACAGCTAGAATCAAACTTGGAGGTCAGCATTAAAACAATCTGTAAAATGCAGATCATACCATAACTAAAGCATCCTTAGTGAATGTTCATTTCAGTGTACCATTCATTCTTTTTATCTGGTATGTGTTTCTATTGAGGTGCAGTGTCAGACCTGCTTTTCCCTCACAATGACAAAGCTATGAAGTAGGTTGGGCTGAGAAAGAGGAAGCATCTCAATGTCATCCAGTGAGTTTCTGTGACTGGGGAAGGGCTAGCAGCTGGGTCTCCTTACCGCTAGTCCCTTTCCACTGACAGCAAAGAAGTGATGGTGATAGCAAAAATAACGAAAGTAGCGTTGTACTGCAGGTTCTGTGGCTTGGGACCGGGTTACTTGCAGGACCATCTCTCCCTAACTATTTCTACCCAGTCTGGCAGAAGGGAATACTTTGGGTCCTGCTGGCTGGCAGGACCCAGGAGAGCCTTTTCTGCCATGGCGCCCACCCTGTGGAACATCATTCCACCTGAAATTAGATTGGCCCTGGGCCTGTTGGCCTTTCATAACCTGAAAACTTGGTTTTCTGCCGGGCCCTGGATATGTGAGGGAGCCCATCTCTTGGCTTTGCTGATGGTTGTTCCTTACGGTGCTCGGCTGTGATGTGTTTTTATTTTTGTATTTT